TTAGTATGGGAAGATACTTGCTTCATCTAAGGTAACTTCTGAAGTCAAAAGGCCAGCCACCTTAGTTCTTTAAGAACAATGACTACATTGCAAGTCAATTTGATTTTTCTCATACTTTACAAGGACAGCACTTTATGTTCAAAAGGCAAGGTTTTAACTCCAAAATTAACTTAATAATTTCAAAATTACAAATAAGATGCATTTAATTTCAACAAAAAATTATCACTCTAATTATTTTTATGCTACCTGTCTTGGCTCATTCCTTCCTCAAATTACTGAATTTCAAATTGTTAAAATAATGATTAATATTGGTATTAATTTAGGTTATCTTCCTGGAAGTCATAGAAATGAGAACCTTTTATGCTGACATGCTATTATTATTTTCTGATTGCTACAAAGCTACAGATTATAAAGTTACACATATTCAGCCAGATTTTCCATTTTTATCCACCTATTGAGTTTTTCCCAAGGACCTGGGATAGTTGTTTGATGTTGTTAAAGGTATTGTCACAGGATGTAAGCTGTTCCAAATAAATCTTTTATTACTGTTGTTGTTGTTATTTGCACAATCAGCCAGGTATTTCGATTGGATTTGCCATTTTTATCTACCTAGGTTAGGCAGATGTTGTTTCATGGTGTTAAAGGTATTGTTGTAGGATGTAAGTTGTTTCCAATAAAACTGCCTTTTGCAATTGACTGATGGTGATTTTGTCAATGCTGATGGTGTTCAAGTGATGTTCCAGTTGTTCTGGATTGTACCTAAGATGTCTATATCTATTGGTATTACTTTTGTTTTCTTTTGCCACAGTAATTCTACTTCTGATTGCAAATCTTTGTGTCTAATTAGCTTGTCTAGTTTTCTCTTTTATTCTGCTGATTCCAGGTTCTGCAACAACAACTATTCAGATTTTTTTTTCTTATAAATAGTTGTTAAGTCTGGGGTATTACGTGACAGGTGCTTGTCTGCTTGAATTCTGAAGTCTCACAGCCCTTTATCTTTTTCATTTTCTATTACTTTGTCTATTTTGTGATCTCATTAGTTCTTGCTTGCAGGCATATAGTATTTCTTGCAGATATTCCAATACACCATTGTTGCTAGTTTGTCATGCTGTTATTTGTACTCAGTCTGTATGATTTTATTATTATATGCACCAAAATGTAAAATTACATCTGCTACATCTGATATTGGCCTTCATATTCATCAAGTTCTTCCTGAGAAACTGGATATGGTAATATATCAGTGTAGTATATGTGAGGATCCAAGTGGTGTGACTTTTTGTGATTGACGGATGGAAATACATAATAGAACAAGCCCATCATCCATGTTATACTTCTAAAATAATGAAATAGATAATCAATCAAACCAATTTCTGGGTAGTCCAGTAAATTCAGTAAATAAGGAAGAGTGAATAAGGGACATGAATAATAAATAATGAGTTCCACAAAACAATTTAATGACTGAGAAAATAATTCCATTTGTGATAATTCCAGTAGATATATACATGTTGATCCAACTAATAAATACTAAAGGAAATCCATATTTAATAAAACTTGTTTCAAAAAATTCCATTAAACATATCAAAAGCCTTTTCCATGTCTAGCAAAACTATGTAATAATATTAATTAATTTTGGATAAGGCAATATTCTAATACACAATAGCAAACCAAAATAAAATTCTTAGCAAAATAGATGTCCAATACATCTGTATATCTATATTATATTTAGAATGGCTATGATAATATGTGCAGTAAGTTCTCTCTCTCTCTCACACCCACACCCACACCCACATACACACACACACACACAAATCTTCTGACTCAATTACTTCAGATAATTGAAATAAGTTGTGAGCTATTAAGCAAAATTGCTAAACTTTTTATAGATTTGATTTTCCATTTTTTTGTATATATAGTTGACCAGCCCACCCTCGAGAAAAAGATATAATTCTTAGAGGAGAATATTAGATTCAAGTTTAATTTAATTTAATTTTAATTTAATTTAATTTTAATTTAATTTAATAATTTAATTTATATACCGCCCTTCTCCCGTAGGACTCAGGGCGGTGCACAGCATATTAAAACAGACAAACAAAATACATCAAAAAACAAAAAAACCCCATAAAACCAGATTAAAAGCCAAATATTAGAAGCTGTGTGTCAATTAAAATTTCTTAAAATCATCCCTACCTAAAATCCTCCCTAGGTCAGGCCCGCTTGCTGGAAAAGCCATGTCTTGAGGGCGCGGCGGAAAGTAAGGAGATCCGGAATCATCCGGATCTCGGGGGGTAGTTCGTTCCAGAGGGTGGGGGCACCCACAGAGAAGGCCCTCCCCCTGGGGGTCGCCAGCCTACACTGCTTGGCCGACG